TCCCCAGCACAGTCCCTGAGTCCTCATGAGAACTGTCCAGAGTTTGGGTGGAGGGACCTGCTGAGAGGGGAGGGCTTGACCCGGTTGGCAGGGAGGGGGAGGGCGGTGTTTCTGGATCTGCCGACGGAGTGGCATGGACTCTGGGAATGTCTCTACCTCTGAGAAGCCTGGGTCTTGGTGCCCGGTCCCCTGTATGTGCTCAGCATGGGTGACTTGGGCCAGCCTGGCCTTCAGCTCTGTGGTCAGGTGACCGTAGCCTGGGAAGGACACTGTAGTGTCACTGCCCCGATCTCCTCATGGCTGGTCCTGGTCCTGGTGCTTGAGGGCTGCTGGGCTGTCCAGGAAGAGGCCACACCTTCTTTGAAAAATTTGTCACCTGCAAGGCCTTCTCATCCACAGAGCAGAATAGGAGGGCCGTCACTGAGGGTCCCGGGAGGGGACCTTGCCCCCAGGTGCCTGGGACCTTGCCCACAGGTGGGTTGGCAAGAGGGATGAGAGCCTGGTTGCTGGATGCTGACCTGGAAGGGGCCCAGCACCCAGCAGCCTGTAGTGGGGGTGTCCGGAGCCAAGGCCTGGACTTGGAGCCCCTGTGTCCAGCTGTCAGTCCACCAGGCAGGTGGGCCCTGCAGGTCTTCCTCCTCTCCTGGGACGCCCAGGGCCCGGCAGCCGCACCCTCTGTGTCCCGTTGGGCCTGGTTGGCCGACTGCTGGAGGGGCTGCAGGAAGGCCCAGGAGGGCCCGGCTGCCCTCTGCTTTCCTGCCCCTGCCCTCGGCCTTTCCTCTTCCCATCTGTCCACACRTCCATCAGCCCATGCCCCAGCGTGGGAATTGGCAGAGCCTGATCCCAGGTCCTGGGCCTCCCTTCCTCCATGCGGACACAGTGCAGGGTCCACAAGCCCAGAGGGCCCTGTGTCGCACCGTGACCTCTGCTCTTGTCACTGTCCCCAGCAGCCCCCGTCTCTCCCAGCTGTGGGGTGTTAGCCTGGCTCAGCGGGCCTGAGCTGGCAGCTGGCTCTCTCCTGTACCTGACCCTGCCATCCACCTGCTAGCTCATGCCACACACTGCCTCGCACCGACCTGTGCACACTGTACTCACACACGTGTGCACACATTTAAGCTAAGATGCTTCTGCCATTGCACACCCACTCAAACGTGCTCACAGTTGTACCCAGCTCACACGCACAGACGCGCTCAGCCACAGGCTCACACTCCTGTGTTCACTCATCCGTACAGGCACAGGGTCTGCACACTCACAGTCACACTCAGCCCACGCGTTCCCACACCCACGGACAGCCCTGTGCACTCACCCACCCAGAGCTTCTCCTTTCCAACCCCAGCCCTGCAGCTGGGACCTGTCCAGAGCCATCTGTCCAGGGCACGCTCAGGGCAGTGGCCTTGTCACCTCCCTAGCACTTCCCAGTGCTTGGGGTCTACCCAGAATTCTGTGCTGTTGCCATCTCAGGTGCAGTCCTGGGGACTTACTTGGTGGCCTCGGTGGGCTTGGGGGGCTGTCACTTGTCTGTCTAGCCAGGTGGCTTGTCTTTGCAGGCTGGTGACACCCAGGGCCAGTGCTCGAAGGCCAGTGCTCTCCTCTGAGCTCACCTCCAGCCCTGGCCAGGTGTTGATTATGTTTGGTTTTGGTCCCTGGGGGGTCTGGGGGTCGCAGTGACGAGGCCAGCTTGCCCGGGGCTGCAGTGGGGAGCACAGGCTACGGGAGAGAAGATGACAGTGGCCTTGGATGCAGGGTGATCCTGAGTGCCACAGGGGCCCTTCTTTCTGGAAGATTCTGGGTGTTCAGTCTCTGCTTTCTAAACTGGCTGCGAGGAGCCCAGAGGCATGGGGACTCGGGGCGTCTCCCAGGGAGGTGTGCCAGGCCTCCTGAGCTGCGCTGCCCTGAGCCCGCCAGGCCCGCGCCCCCCGGTGGAGCCTGGTTCTCACCTCCCGGGCTGGTCTCGGCCTTCATGCGCCAGTGTTGTGCGACCACCCTGTGCCTTCCCTGTGTGGCTGGCGGGCGGGGTCTGGGCAGCTGGAGCCCGGGTCAGTCTAGCTCTAACCTCCTCTGCTGGTGGTTGGAGGACCCTGGAGGAAGATGCTCCTGCTGGGCTCTTGCCCTGATCAGGACGCCCTGGGCACAGCGAGAGCCCCCCCAGCTCCTCCTTGGCTGGCGCAGGCAGGGCCCCTCCAGCTGGTGGGAGCAGCAGGTGGGAGCTGGGTGGTCCTCACTGCCTGCTGAAGTGGGCCCTCTGTGTCCACAGGACACAGACCCAGTCCTGGGGGCTGGCAGCTGGGTCCCTGGGTCCTGCCTGGCTCTGGCCCCTTCTCCCAGCCCCTGTGAAGTGGGCCTTCCTGTCCCACCAAGGGGACCCCGGAAAGCTGGGGATGGGTGTGGGTGTCAGAGCTCACTCCTGACACAGGCCGCGCTGAGGAACGGGTCCCTCCTTGTTCAGCCAGGTCTGTAAGTCCTCCTGCATCAGGGCCACCTGCTGCCATCCAGGACCCCACACTCTGTCTACCCGAGGTGACTCCGCCTTCATCAGAGCCACCTGTGGGGTCCCCGGTGGTCACCCTAGCCAAAGTGTGGGCTCACCAGACACATGCGGGCCAGGCCTGGCTGGAGCACTACCGGGCCATCTCCTGTCCATCACAGGTCTTGGTGCTGGGCTGACCCCCAGGTGCAGATAAGGGACCCAGGCCCAGCTGAGGGAGAGGCTGTTCCACATCTGGAACATTCTGGGAATTCGAGGTGGGTGGGGAGGGCCCCAGGGTCCCCTGAGGCCTCTTGGCCTGGCCCTCAGCACCCAGCTGTGCAGAGGGTGTTGAGATATCACAGACCCTGCCTTCACGTGCTGACCACGGCGTGGCCCTCCAAACCTGCCAGCACCCTGGGGACAGGAGGCCTGAGTCCCTCCCAGGCTTGGCTGTAGGAATGTGGGGCAGACCTGCCGGCTTCGCCCAGAGCGACGCCTGGCCCAGGGAGGCGGGGACAGTTGGCAGGGACCAGTGTCCACACCTCTGGGTCCCAGTCTGTAAACCAGCGGGAGATGCCCTTCAGCTCTGTGGGCTTGACCGCTGCTCCAGGGCCCGAGGGTGTCACTCTGTGTATGTGGACGTCACGGGGAGCCTGCACGTTGTCRTTTTTCAGAGGGGTAAACTGAGGCTTGCAGAGGTGAGAACCCGGGTGACAGAGTATCAGGGCTGGGGCCTGAGCAGGTCTTAGACCCCAAGCTGACCTGTGCCGCCCAGGCACTGGCCCAGGTTCAGGGACAGTGGGGAATTGAGGGAGGCGCTGGACATGAGTGGACAGTTGGTCACTGGAGGAAGTCTCCCTGCCGTGCATGTCCTCCCCCCGGCCTTGGCCTTCCCTCCACCTGCCYGGCCCTCAGGGGACAGGGCCCCTTGGTAGCTGCTGGCCCCGTKGTGCTGTGGGCCCGGGTCCCCTCTGCCTGGCCTTGCATTTCAGACAGCTTCTCTCGGGGCCCCTGAGGTCCCGTGGGAGCAGCTCCTCCAAGCCAGCAGCCATGAGGGAAGGTCCCCAGGCAGGTCCCCAGCCACCACCTGGCATTCACGAGATTCACGGGTGTTCAGACACCAGCACGTCAGGGGTGAAGCAGGTCCTCGCTCCGCAGCCTCTGGGGCCGGGCCTCCTGGGTGCCTGTTCTCTGCCCCATGTGCCCCACCCCGAGCTCACGGAGCAGGCCACACGTCCCGCCTGCACTGAGGCCCGAGGCCGGAGCAGTCCCTCGGGTGTGCTCCAGGMATCACGTTCCTCATGAGGGGCAGCTGCTGTCCCTGTACTGTCCAGTGTCATGGGCACCGACCCCCTTAGGGGGCCTGAGAAGAGGGAGGTGGGACCCAGCCTGCGGGGACAGGGGTACTTGCCCCACCTTGGAAGTGAATGCCCAGCCTGGGAGGGAAAGGGGCCTGATGGCCAGTTGACCGCTTTGCCCCCACCTCCAAGACCCCGTGGTCAGAACTGGACACAGACAGGGCACTGAGCCCGGGCCCTGGCGCCCCAGCACCCCGTCCCGTGTGTGTTGGGGTCACTGTGGGCTTCTTCTCCTGTCCCAGCTCCCCTGTGGCCTCCCTGCCCCCCTCGGACACAGCCTCAGGCTGCAGGCCTTGGGCTGGAGGGAGGAGGAGGCCAGGTGGGTGTGGAAGGCTGGGCCTGGAGGGGCCTGGGGAGGGAGGGTCCTTTAGGGACCGTTCTGTGGTGGAGGGTGGTTATGGACTGGGGGAGGTGGGTCCTCCTGACCCAGCCCTTCAGGTGAAGAGGCTTGGGAGTGGGCATGGCCTGGGCCCTGCTCACACCTTGCTGTGTGTCCCGGGGCCACATACTGAATGGCTCTGAGCCTCTGTCTCCTCATTAGGCAATGCCTGGTCCCAAGGGCTTCCTGGACCATGTGCCTGGCCCGAGGGCTGCTTGGACCATGTGTGGACAGCTGCTCATTCCCCTGGCCTGCTCTGCTGTGCTCCGGGTGTCCTGGGGTGCTCCCCTGGCTGCAGGAGGGCCCTCCTCTGTAGAGGGCGTCCCTCCTCACTCCTGGCAGGAGGCCCAGGGGTGAGGGTGGTTCACTCACCGTGTCCACTTGCCCAGCGAGCGCCCCATGGGGGTGGGGCGCAGCCTTTCCACCCCACCCTGCACTCTGGAGTGTGGGGATATCCAAAGAGGGTCCCTCCTGGGGGATGGGGCCAGCTCTGGGGTAGTGGCTATGTGTGACCCAAGACAGTGGGCTGGGGCTATGACCTAGGCTGGGCCAGGGCTGCAGCCTGTGAGCCGTTGCAGGCTCCGGGGGTGTGCAGGAGGCTTTCCTCTGTCCAGGCTCCAGGCCTTGCCCCTTCCCCATCTCCCTGCAGGGCTGGGCGGGAATGGAGCCCAGTCTCTCGGAAGCAGAGGACAGAGTTGGAGCTGGAGGGGGGACTTCCCGGGGAGGGGTCCTCTGGGACTGTGTCCTGGCAGGTCGTTGGGGCTGTCCCCCCCATGGTCTCTTGTCCTCTCTGCAGCGGAATGCACTTCTGGGCTCTGTTTTAATGGTGGCCGCTGTGTGCCAGGCTCAGCTCAACTCTGCCGCTGTCCCCGAGGCTTCCAGGGTCCCCGCTGTCAGTACGGTGAGTGGAGTGCCATCTCGCACCTGCGGCCAGCTGGTGGGTGGAGGGGTGGGAAGTTGGGGACTGGACAGGCGGGCACTCTCCTGGGGACCTCTGCTGATCCCCTCTCCTGGCTCTCTGCAGCCTGACTGGGGGAGGTGGGAGGAGGAGCGGCCCCCCAGCAGATACCTCTGCACAACCTGGTCTCGGAGCCCACCCTGTCCAGCCACATGACAAGAAGGCAGGGCCCAGAGAAGGGTGGCGAGTAGTGGGGACTGGGCCCGGGCCTGGGTGGCACCGCCCCCGACCAGAGCCCTCACTGCCGTACTGTTCCCAGCCAAGGTGAGGTGTCGGGTGAAGGGACCTCGGCACGCCACTGACCGCAAGCCCAGACAGACCATGAAAACCGGGCTGCAGCACAGGTGCCCGTGGTCAGGGAGTGCTGGTGGTGACAGCAGGGGCAAGGGCTGCCAGCAGGCCGCAGGGCGACGGACCTTCTGAAGAGAAGTCCTTCAGGGCCTGGTAGGAAAGCGTCAGAAGAGCCTCCGCCAACGGGAGTCCCAGGCTCCTGGGGCCACTGAAGCGTGGCTCTCTCTGCCTCTGCCTCCCGCTCTGCCAAGTCTCTGCCCCCCAGCTCGCAGGCCTGGAGCCTGGACCTGCCGGCTCCCAGGTGTTGGGCTGCTTCCTGGGTGGGCACGMGGGTCCTTCCTGCTGCAGGCCAGGGCACAGTGTGAGAAGGCTCGACTGCTCGCCCCAGGATTCCCCTTGGGAGGAAAGTCCTGGGAAGTTGGAAGGAAATCAGAGGTCCCCGTGGGGATAAAGGTGACCCCACTCATTCCCTTGGTGGGACACTCCTGATGTCCTCCTCTGAGTATCTGACCCAGGACAGGGTTCTAGCGAGGTCCTGGGGCGCTTAGCACTGTGGGAAGCCTGGGGTCTGGGGACTCTGCCAGCTTGCCAGCTGTCCTCTGGCCCTCTTGCTGGCCACCCCTGGGGCTGAGGGCCTCTGCTGCTGCTCCTGGGCTCTGGGCAGCAGGTGGCCCTTCCTGTCTCTAAGTGCCGGGGAGGGTGGGTCCTCTGCCTCGTTGCTGCCAGAGGCCTCAGCTTCCTGGCCTTGGCCAGTCCCTCTGTGGGGTGGTCCCAGGTGCCACCCCTGCCCAGTGGCAGGCAGGGTGCAGCAGGACCAGGGACTCGGAGCCCACCTCACTCCTGGGAGCCCTGCCTGTGGCCCGGGTGGTGCAGGCCCCTCGGGCCTTTCTGCTCCTCTGTCCAGTTGTCTCTTTGGGACGCGTGCTCTGGCCTCCAGCTTTGGGGAAACACCAGGGCTGTCGGGCTGGAGAGGGGTGGGGCTGGGGGTTGGTGGGGGCTACCCCTGGGAGCTGCCTTGGGGGTTCAGGGCAGGGCTGTGGGCAGATGGCGAGGTGGTGACTGGGGGTTTGATCTGCCCTGGTCATGTCCTCTGGGAGGGGGTGAGGGCTCCTGACCTTCCCCTCAGGCCTGCTTTCCACCATCCCCAGCCCCCTCCTCTCCTCTGCCCAGCTCTGAGCCCTGCTGGCCAGGGCTCCCTTTACCCCCAGCAGCCTCCCCATCCCGGAGACGCCGACATGGGGCCTCCTGGGGACCAGAGGGTACCAGGGCTTGCAGCGGCTCTTTGTCTAGGCACCTGGTGGGGGGACTTGGCCTCTACTGAGGGCTCAGCGTCCTGTGGGGAGGGGCCTGGGCGTCCAGCAGGAGGATCTGTGTGGCCTGCCCCCTCTGATGGGCACAGAGGTCGCATTCGGGGATGCGGCTGAGTGTCCCAGACTCACGGTCCCTGACCTGGTGCCTGCTCCTGGTCACAGGGTGGTGGCTGCTGGGGAGGGAAGCCTGTGGCTCTGACGCCTGCCTGGCTCTCTCCAGCGCTGTCACCTGGCTGTCACCTGGCTCCGCCCATTTCCTGGGAGAGCATACGGAGGTAAGGGAGGCCACTCTTCCTGAGCAGAGAGCCGGGCCCAAGAGAGGTCCGCTGCCGCGAGCGCTTGCAGCCTTCCCGTGGGGGCTGAGCCTTGGGCAGGGTGGGGCCCCTGGGATCTGGAGATTTGGAGGTGAGAGGGGCAGGGCACCTGCACCAGGAGGACCCATGACCAGCTGGTGGCCCTCTGAGGTGGGCTTCCCAGGAGAGTGGCCACAGAGGGGGCAGAGCAGTGGGAGAGTGGCCGCCCTCTCTCTTAGGGGAAAGGGTGAGGTATGCAGGGCTGGGCTTGTAGGGCCGATCCAGGGGCGCGGGGCACCTCTTCTCCCACCCAAACCTCCCACGTTTCCCGCCTCGCTCCCCAGCTGGGGCTTGGGCACCGCAGACCTGGGCTCAGGCCCAGTTGGGAGTCTTTAACTAACCCCACAATTATAATTGGTTCCAGTTTTGAAAGTAAAAACCATATTTTTCTGGTTCCCCCAAATTCTTTCATTTGGACCAAAGAGTGGGGGAGGGAGGAGGGGTCTCCGTTGGTGACTGTGGGGAGTAGACAGGGAGGGAGCCCTGGCGCCCTCCCCCCCAAGCTCAGTGCCCCTCCTTCCCCCAACCCAAGTCAGGCCTCGCTGGGTGGACCCACCCACTGCCTGGAGGCCAGTCGATGCGCAGGAGGCCTCTGGAGCACAAAGCAGAGCCTGTGCCGGGTGGTCAGATGCTGGGCACGGCCTGCAGCAGAGCTCCCCCCAGGAGGAGATGGAGGGACAGCCCTGGGCACGGCCTGCAGCAGAGCTCCCCCCAGGAGGAGGTGGGGGGACAGCCCCCGGCACGGCCTGCAGCTCAGTTGTCCAGGACTAGCTCTGGTGCCTTGGTGACAGGGTGGCCTACTCAGCCTCTGGGGCCCTGGGTGGAGATGAGCCCAGTGCTGGCCTGGTGGAAGGGTCAGGAAAGGGTCTGTGGCTCTGACCGTGACAGTGATGAGGAAGTTCTAGGTGGGCCACCGAGGTGGACCCAGGGCTGAGCTGGTTCTTGGGATGACCACAGCTCCCTTGTGGCCTCTCTGCAGGAYAGCCAGCCTGTACTCTGCAGGTTAGCCCCTTGGTTCTCAAATGGGACACCCTGCCCCTCAGAGGCCTCCAGGATCCCCTCCAAACCTCCGTTCCTCCAACCCGCCAGGAGGGTCTTCACCAGCCAGAAATCTGGCTTTGTCCTGCCTCCACCCTGGAGCCCTGCTGTGAGCCACTCCTGAGAGCAGGCAGGTGCCCCGGCCCCACCCCAGAACCTGCAGGTGAGCCCTGCTCTGCAGGGCTGGCTGCGTTGAGTCTTCAAGGACAGGACAGGCAGGACGAACTTCAGGTCACAGTCCTGCTGTCACGGTGGTCTTTTGGCTACAAGTTGTGACCGTGACGACGGGTCATGTCCCATGTCTGTCTCAGCCGACCTTGTGGGATGTGGGCAGGCTGTGCCTCAGTGCCCTCCCCTGTAAATCGGGCAGGCAGTGTGGGGCTCTGAGGCGGTTCCACACGGGAGTGCTGGCCCCTCATTCCTGGGCCCAGGAGGCTGGTCAGTGTGGCAGCATGGTCAGGAGGACTTCCTGGAGGAGGTGGGCCTGTGGAAGGGAAGGGAAGGTGGGGGGTGGGGATCAGGCCAAGTTCCAGATGGGGGCAGGAGCTGGGGGATGGGAGAGAGAAGTGGTTTGGACTTGGAGGGCTGGGCTGGAGGGGAGGGTCAGCCAGGAATCTGGGGTCCCAGCCATTCTGGGTGGGATGTGGCGGGGGCCACCTCTGCTGGCCTGGCAAGTGCCCTGGGTGCTGCTTCTCTGCCCCACCGCACCCCCCCAGCAGGAGCTGTCCTGCCTGCAGCCTCTGCTCCCAGTCTGTCCTGGGGCCTTGACCCTCCCGCCCTCGGGGAGCTGGTTTCCCTGCCCGAGCAGGAAGCGGGTGGTGGGCACCCCGTGGCAGGGGCTAGAGGTGGCTGTGGCAGCTGGGGGGGCCCTGCAGCCAGGCCAGGAGCAGAGCCCCAGAGGGTGAGGGGTGGGAGCACCTGGCCAGGGCGGCTGTTCCTGGGCTGGAATAATGGCTCGGTGGGGAGAAAGCCTCCCGCCAGCTCCCTCAATGCTGTCCTGTGTCTGAGGGTGAGTCCGGCCTCGCCCCGGGTGCAGACGACACCAGTGCTGCTCCTGGCCACCAGCCTCCACCAGGCCTGGAGCAGACCCTGCCACCCCGGGACTGTGGCCCTCGGTGAGGTTGGGAAGGGACTCCCCTGGTGTCTCCTGTAGGGGTGGGCCCTGGGCAGGGCCTTTCTGTCCAGCATGTGAAAGAAGCCCTGTCTTGGAGGAGCTGAGGCTGGCCCACCTGAGCCCCTCTCCACCTGCCGCCCGCCTGGGGTGGCTCTTCTGAGGCCCTCAGCTGCAGAACCCCAACCTGGGCCGGTTCCTCGGGGAGCCACTTAGCTCCTGTCCTGAGGATGTAAAGATGGGCCCTGATCCTGGGCGCTGGTTCCCAGCATCCACACTGTTCCCTGTGCTTGTCCCCAGGCTCCCGTGAGCAGAAGGTGTCCCACTTGGGGCCGAAGCTGGCTGAGAGGAGGCCCGTCCAGGGAGGCTTTTTGTTTGGTTGGGGAGGGGTCCAGCATGCACAGGGAGGGCTGGTGCACCTGGGGAGGACTCGGCCCACCTGGGGTCTTGCTCCCTGGCTCCCAGGCAGGGGGCCCGGGCCTGGGCGATTCCTGCCCCCAGTCTCTGTTGAAGGCTAGGTTCCCGGAGCAGAGTGCCCAGAGCATCTGCAGTGGCCAGGTGGGCACTTGGAGGGGCTGACAGTGGTCCTGGCCCACCTCCTGTCAGGGCTCAGAGCTGGTGTGGACGTTTTGTGCTGGGGAGGGTGGGCCAGGCCACAGTGTGCAGTCATGGGCTGCTGGGGAATGGSTGACGGGCATCTCGAGGACTGGGGCATCGTGTGGTGCAGGACCCTGAGAGAGGGGTGGCAGTGGGCAGAGGAGACCAGCTCTGGACTCAGGTGTTGGGCTCTGCTCCTCGGAGTACCTGGCCCCTGGCCCTGACCCCTCCTGGTCAGCCTCA